AAATCAAAATACCTTTACGCGCCTTATTAGGTATACTCGCTTTACAAGATGTACATCCCAGTGTCAAAATTTCGGAACATTATTACAACGAAAAGCTAAAGGTCTGGGTAAAGCTGAAAATACATACGTACGTCAACCATTATCAGTACGCTCGATTCGTATAAGTACGTGAACAATGTCAAACCAAAAGGGCGCAGTGAAAGCTGTATAGTATACAAGAGATGAGCCTACGGTCTTCAATCCTTGCGTTGGTACATCGATCCCCCAATACAATGAACATCTCCCTTCTAAAAGTCCAAGCGCAAACGTCGTAATCCCCCCCCTCGATTTGTGGTTAAATCTACGCTTAAATACGGCTCAAACGGTACCGCATAACACAACATAAAAAACACGACATCGCGCCAACGAGAAGTCGAACACGCCCGTTAAACTAACGACCATTTTGAAACCGAATTGGCCAGCCGCCCGCCGGGAAGGAGTGTGTCAAGGGCACGCCGAAGAGTGGTTCTCGTGACATGTCGGTCACCCCGCCACCCAGCAGCCAACCCTCACCTGACCTTCACGTGCCGCCACGGTCAGGCGCCGCGGCAGCCGGTCTCACGTCTGTTCGGGCGGCAGGCGGGGTGGCTGCCACACCGCCGTGCGGGAATCAGCCGTCGGTTTCGCAGATGGCCGAGATCAATTTAGCCGGCGCCGCTGGATTCCCTCCCAGGAATTACCCCAATCGTAACGGGGGAAATGTCATCCATTTTCACGGCTCACGAGGATCGATGAGGCGGAAGGGAAGTGGCCCTTTTCGGGCTGCTGAGCTACAGGAAGACCAACGGTGACGGGTAATCTACGACGACGGCTGATAAGAAGCACCATACGTTCGTGCTCGACTTACCAAAAGACGAATCATCGGTTGGCGATGAAGACGCCCATCCCATCTCTACCACCCGTTGCAGACCCGGCCTTCGCCCTGCCGACTAAAAGCGTTGCCACACTGGCGGAAACAGGGAAAGCCGCGATGCGCTCGACGACGCTGACTCCCCGGCGCCGGGCCGGTCTCATCCCTCCCGCCTCGGTGGCCGTCGCCGCGTCGTGCTCTCACCTTGAACAGCACGGCGTGGTAGCAGTACACGTCGAGCGGCATCAGGCTGTCCTGGGCGAACCGGCGGCCCGCCTGCGCCATCGCCCGCGCCTCGGCATCGTGCGCCTGCGCCCACTCCAGCCTGCGACGTCAGTTCAGTTCAGGTCAGGTCATGTCAGATCAGGTCAGGTTAGGTCAGAACAAATCGGGTCGGATCAGGCCGGGTGACGTCGGGTCATGTCACGGTAGCACGGCTCGGCGCGTTTCCCGACACACCGCTCGAGCTGAGAGTCGCCCGCGCACGGGCGCCGCCTCCCCGGCCGCCGAGGAGCCGGTCGGCCAGTCGGGGCTTCAGCTTCCCGCTGCGGCTGCTCCGTCACGCGCCGGACAGGTCCCGGTGATCAGTTTCAATCCCGCGGCTCCCGGAGCCGAAATAGCCGGCCGCCGCACTCGACCCTCCAGCCGAGGATGAAATCTGACATGCTGACTGATGGCGGCGCGGCGCCGACGGCCGACGCCGCCGACGGGATTTTAAATTGAGAATTACTGCTCCTGGCCGGATGAGAGGGCTTGCGGTCCCGGACCCGGGTGCCGATGTCGGACTCGGAGAAGTCCCAGCGTCCCGGGGTTTTCCGGGAGCGCGTTCCGTAGGCGTGCCGCGTCCCGGCCGTACAACTTACTCCAGCTGCACCCGGGCCGAGGGTCAAACTTGGTTAGCTCTAGGGCGCCCGTGTCAGACTCTAAAGGCAAGGGTCGCCAGGGCAGTGCTGCGGGGTACCCGTGTCCCAGGCCCTTTTGAGATGGAAGGCTCTGGGTCCCAGTGACATATACTGCGGCCTCTGGCATGATCGTCCCAGGCTCGGGCTTCAGAGCGGTGGATTTGGTCGTCGCCGCGTGTCTAATTCCCCGCAGAATAGCCACATCGGTTTCTCGGCACCATCACCATCCCCTCCCCTGCACCATCGCCATAAATGAGCAATGGTGCAGGGGAGGGAGGAAGGTAAATGATTGCCTTGAGTAGGAGGTGCTCGCCTTACTTGGGAATCTTGCTTTTGACCGCTGAAGTGTTGCAGTTGTCATTAATATGTCCGATTACCTGGGTCCGTGGTGGAACTCAATCACCTTATGAACGCTGCCATCGGGGAGGATGAGCAATGTAGCTGAAACCAGACGGCGAGGACCAAGACCATCAGTTTGGCCACCCTGGTTCAGCAGGCATTACATCACGACAGAGAGCACGCATCAGTATACATACACCGTGGACTCGAAATGGCAGAGCCGGCGAGGATCATTCTGCAAAATTGAGCACTACACCTACAGCGTCCCATGGGAAAAGACAAGGTAACAATCACATCCCATCTCCTCAGAGAATCCACCGTCACCGCGCGGACCTCATCAAAACTTGGACGGAGGCCAAGTGAGGCACAGAATTGGCCAGGGCGGCGGCTTGCCGACTGCTCTGCCGGCGCTGGCTGAGACGACTTTCCCGCCTCTAACGAGAGGCCGTTCCGAGAATGGACCGCCAGCCGGCCAGCCGCCGCTGCTACGGCAAATATTAAAAACGTCCGGCGAACGAGAGGCCGGCCCTGACTGGTGATGGGTCCGCTGACGGGACTCCTTCCGTTCAGTGGCGTTCGGTCAGGACTGGCGGCTATTTCAGGTCCGTCTGGCCGCTCGACGGACAGCGCCGCCGCTCTCCGCAGTCGCCGGCCCGCGGCCGTCGCACGCACAAAAACCAGCCGCGGCCCCGATTCGAACT